CCGCTTCCTTGTCAATTTCACATAGATGGGTTCCCCACTTTGGAGGGATGGAAAAGGCAATTAAAATAGTCCTTTGGTTTGAGACTGATTCAGACTGATGGGAGTGACAATCCCAATAGGAACTGCCCTGGTCAGTGTATTACTGTGTGATACTGTGTGATCCAGGACAATATTTGGGCTCCATCTTAAAATATTTCCAAAAATTCTTATGTCACCATTTATTAAGGATCTCATCATCAACATAAAAAACTTTCAGTGTTCAGCACTTGTACACACACATTTCTAAATATTATAGTAGGATGTAGTGATCATTAATTTTTTTTTTGATTTACAGTTTTATTTGTAGTGCTAACACATGTTTAATGGGGAATTGAGCTTCCATGACAGCAAAGTAGATGAAATTCTCTGTGTGTTGAAATGTGCTTATGTTATTTTTAATCCAGTGACGTAGGCCGTAATAAACCATCCTATAAATTGTATAGCTGTCTTAAAATGTATCCCTAAGAGTTGCTAAAAAGAAATTACATAATGGAATAAAACATAAACACAAGAGTGGAGACAAACTCCTAAAAGATTACTGTTCTGTCCAACCTATGCTAAAAAACAGATCTTTCTCTGTTTCTCTAAGAATGATTCTTAGGCACTTATTCTTGTTTAGGCTGATATAACAGAGTATAATACCTCCAGATTATGTATTAAAAACTGCAGAGGGCCTTGTATAACTGTGCAATCCAGGAAAGTAGCCACTAGACACATCTGACTATTTAAATTTAAGTTAATTCAAAGTAAGTGTATGTTAAAATCCAGTGCATGTGTCTAGGGCCCATGCATCTATTGGCTACCATATTGGACAGTACAGATATAGAACATTTCCAACATAGACAATAACTATCTTAAAATGTATATGCAATTTTATTGTTTCATTGTGCTTAGTTGCTCAGTCCTGTCTAACTCTTTGTGACCCCATGGACTGTAGCCTGCCAGGCTCCTCTGTCCACGGGGACTCTCCAGGCAGGAATATTGGAGTGGGTTGCCATGCCCTCCTCCAGGAGATCTTCCCAACCCAGGGATCAAATCCAGATTTCCTACATTACAGGCAGATTCTTTACCATCTGAAACATGAGGGAAGCCCAAAATTTAAGTTAATTCAAATTAAATGTATGTTAAAATCAGCACATGTATCTAGGGCCCATGCATATATTGGCTACCATATTGGACAGTACAGATATAGAACATTTCCAGCATAGACAATAACCAACTTAAAATGCATATGCAATTTTATTGTTTATGGTATTTTGCTTATTAAAAAGCTACTGGCAAAATTTCACTGAGAGATCCTACAAAATTTTAAAAGGTTTTTGAATTGCTGCTGTAGCCTGTCAACATACCTGGAACTAGTGTGGCTGTTCTTAAAACTTATACAGATTTGAGAGCCATTTAAGAAACCCTATGAATAAGATTCAGCAGAGTTAGCACTTTCCCACCTGGAAGTTTCAACATAGTAAAAGCAGAAATAAAGTATTTTAACAATTTATTCAAGGTTTCCCTAGGATCCATGTTATTCTAATACTTAAATACTAGAATGCTACATGATGTTGTTTCAATTTATATTAGTATACTTTAGTATTTATTTTATTGAAAGCTATGCTTACTGAGGAAGGCTTCCCTGGTAGCTCAGACAATAAAGAATCCTCCTCTCGATGCAGGAGATGCAGGTTCAATCCCTTGGTCAGGAAGATCCCCTGGAGAAGGAAATGGCAACCCACTAAAGCTTTCTTGCCTGGGAATGCCATGGACAGAGGATGCGAGCAGGCTACAATACATGGGGTCACAACAAGTCGGACTTGACTTAGTGGCTAAACCACAGTGATGCTACTGAGGAAGTGGGTATTTTTGTCACATAGGGTTATTAATGTTATAAATCCAAATCCAAGACATAACAAAAAGTATTTGTTCTCTTGTAAGCAGGGGACTCTCAGGGACACTAGGGGCTCTTTCTTGTGAGCAGGGACCCTCGGGGTTCTTTCTCCTCCTCATGCCCCTGTGAGAAAGGTTCCCAGAAATTCCTCTCAGAGGCTTTTCTGTCCCTCACCAGCTGGGTTCTGCATAGCAGAATGTTGCTTGGGCCCCAGGAGAGCTTCCAAAGAAAAGTAAAGAAAGATGGTCACTCTCTGCAGCTTAGCAGTAATTCTCAGCCCGACAGCATCTTCCAGGAGATTGTTAGAAATGCAGACTCTGAGGCCCACTTCCGAGCCCTCAGTCAGAATCTCTTCTAGATTAGAGGCTTGTACACTTTAAAGAAGCATCGTGATCACCTTGAGAACGTGATAAAAGGCAGATCCCGGGGCCCCTCCCCCAGAGTTTCCCACTCCAAAAGATGGGGTGATGCAGGTGCTGCTTCTGATGCCGGCTGATGGATTGGGGACCACACTTGGAAAACCACTGCTCTGGGGCTGGCTCGTTCTCATATTCGATTCTACACTGGAATCACCTGGTGAGCTTCCCCAAAGCCTGATGGTTGAGTCCCACCTCCAGAGTCTCTGGATTAAATGGCTAGTGGATACGGCCTGAGTACTGAGTTGTTTTCCTTTTTGTCTTCAAAAGCTTTCCCAACAATTATAATATGCAGCTAGGTCTGAGAAACACAAGCTATGTAATTCATGCTCAGAACTTCTCCTGAGAGGGAAGCACAACCGGATGTGAGCATCCACCACCCCCACCAATGACTCTGGATGATTCCAGACTGTTTCTCTGGGGTCCAGGTGAGCACAACAGCCATGCAGAACTTCTCCACCATGGAATCCCTCTGGTCAAAGCCTTGGGACCAGCTTTGTTATCCATTCCTTCATTCACCCCAGAAACATTTATGGTATCTCTGCTATGAATCCTTCTTGTTCTAGTTACTTCTTTGTTCATCACTGAACAAAATCATGGAGCTTACATTTTACTTTCATTCTTACCGTTAAAGTCAACATTGTCATGCTGAAGAAAAACCAGAACTGGAAAGTAGTTACAGCAATAAATATACATTCTCTTTGGAAAAAAATGTAAAGTATTGCAACAGGGGGAAGAGACTTCATTATAGAAGTGGGCTCAATGTCGAAAACAAGGAAAAGGAGGAATATTGACCTCTGGGTTGGGAAGATTCCCTGGAGGAGGGAATGGCAACCCACTCCAGGATCCTTGCCTGGGAAATCCCATGGACAGAGGAAGCTGGTGGACTACAGTCCATGGGGTCACAAAGAGTCAGACACAACACAGTGACTAAACAACACAGCCAGGGAGCAGGTTGATGGTCAGTAGATGGATAATTACTAGGAGGAAATGTCAGGGGGAAGGGTATTCTGGCTAAACTGACTTAGAAGGATTCTTGCTAGAACTGGACAATGCAGAGCCACGATGTGAAGAGAGTTCAGAGGTGCCTGACCACAGATAGCTTGGTCAAGAAGAAAAACTTCGTCAGTGGATTGATACACACACACATACACTCAAATATATAAAATATATACATCATGTATAAATGCACACACATATACCCACATATGTGATATATTCATGTGTAAATAAATATGTGCCCCCCCCCACACCCCCTGCCCCCACACTGACTGTTTTTTAACAGACTCTAGGACACTCTTAAGAGGATTTTGATGTTGCTGCAGTTAAGATCTTCACTTGAAACTGACGTTCTAGATAAAATTTGGAACCTGGCATTGTGTGCGGATGGAAGTGCCCGGTCTGTTACTTGCCAGTTGCCATTCCAAAGCGGGTGGAGAGGCAAAACTGAAACTTTTAATAAGGGAAAACATCTGTTCAGTCTCTCTCCCCGCCCCCCTCCATCTCACGCGGGTCCTCCTCCCCACCTGTTTCCCACCCCTAATTTCAAATACTGCCTTCCTCACTTTCTTTCTATGGACAGTCTTACCTCCTTTTCACACAGGCCTGCTCTCAAAAACTTTTCTGCTCCTCCGGGAAAGCCTGGAAGATCCCAGAGGTCCGGCCCAGAAGTGGTTGACAATGTAGTGTTTTCATTCGAATGCAAATTTGTCTCTGGACCGGATTCAAGGAAAGTGCTTTCCCCTCCAACTGTCTCTCCAGCTCCACCCCGGCCCTTGTTGTCTTTTGTGTTCTTGTAAATAAATGAGAGGCAACTGGCTTTCAGTGTGAAGACACAGCTGCAGGGGGCTCTTAAAAGAGAGCTGGAGAGAGAGAGATGCTAAAGATTTGGAGCCTGGCGTTAAAATCTAGAAAAGGGAGGCTTTTTTTTTTTTTAAAGTCTGGCCATTTACAATCGCTCTGCTTCCTCTGGACATGCTTTTTGTAAAGCCTGAAAGCCTAAGCATATTTATTCCGACTTCATTATCTCCCCCTCCTTTTAACTTATCCACAAAGAAGAGTCAACGGGAAAATGACAACAGAATAAACTCCACGAAGTTATGTTTAGTTCTTATGGTTCTCCAGATAAGTATGCGACTTGGTCAATCCCAGAGTAGAGACTGTATCCAGTGAAATGCCCTTGCGGGTCGGGGGGCGGTGAGGGGGTGGGGCTGGAGAGAAGGCTGAACGCCCGAATTTCTCAAAGGAACAGACCCCGATTGCCTTCAGGTAACCTGCTGAGTGACCTTTTCAAAGCTTCCGGGGACTAAAATGCGATGCCTCTGCCCTTCCAGAAACCTCTGAGATGTATAAGCAGCATCCGCGTCCCACTTTTCGGAGGGGGTCCCCCATCCCCTGGTCAGCCGCCCTTTGCTTTCCGGTTTTTTCTTCTTTTTCCTCTTTTTTTTTGGGGGGGAGATAAGCCCCCCCTCCCGAGCGGCTCGAGGGGCGCCCGCGTCTCCCCCCGGCTTCCCGCACCCCCCACGCTGCGCGGTTCGGCTTCCCGGGTCCCGCGCGCCCCGAGCCGCCCCGGGGATCGCCGGGGCCGGGCGGCTCGGGGCGCGCGGGGAAGCTCCCTCCGCTTCTCGCTGGCTAAGAGCGCGTGTTCTCTGCTCTCCCGCGCACAGGGCACCACGAGCCGCGCGGGGCACCTGGCGGGGCCGGAGCCCGCGCCGCCGCCGCCGCCGCCGCCGCGGGAGCCGTTCGCGCCCAGCCTGGGCAGCGCCTTCCACCTGCCCGACGCGCAGCCCGCCGCCGCCGCCGCCGCGCTCTACTACTCGAGCTCCACGCTGCCCGCGCCCCCGCGCGGGGGCTCCCCGCTGGCCGCGCCCCAGGGCGGCTCGCCCACCAAGCTGCAGCGCGGAGGCTCGGCCCCCGAGGGCGCCGCCTACGCCGCGCCGGCGCGCGGCTCCTCGCCCAAGCAGTCGCCCAGCCGCCTGGCCAAGTCCTACAGCACCAGCTCGCCCATCAACATCGTCGTGTCCTCGGCCGGCCTGTCCCCGATCCGCGTGACCTCGCCCCCCACCGTGCAGTCCGCCATCTCCTCCTCGCCCATCCACCAGCTGAGCTCCACCATCGGCACGTACGCCACCCTGTCGCCCACCAAGCGCCTGGTCCACGCGTCCGAGCCGTACGGCAAGCACTCGCAGGAGCTGTATGCCACGGCCACCCTCCAGAGGCCGGGCAGCCTGGCAGGTAACGGGCTCGCCGCTCTGCACCCCGCACCCCCCGGGGGGCCGTCTGGGCGCGCGCTGGGGGACCGTGCGGGAGGCAGGCAGACAGACGGCGGGGACTGGAGCAGACTCGGGCTGGTCTTGTCGGTGGGCAGGTGTTTAGCATCCTCTGAAGGTAGGAAAGCGGAGGGCGTCCCTAGACAGGCTGTGTTAACTAGCATCTGAACTCAAATCTACCGGTTGCTTCTGTTTGGAAGTCGTGCATTCTCGCAAACTCGAGTGTTTTCTTTCTGTCTCTCCGTCTCTGTCTCTCTGTCTTCCCCTTCTCGCTCTCTCTGTCCCTGTCACCCCGCCCTCAATAGGCAGATGTCCATCCTTTAAGTCAAATTTAATAAGCAGTCACAAAGACCTGTTGAATGTATCCAGAAAAAAGAGCACAGAGAATAAAAACGACTGTGTTTCTAGGATCACCTGTAGTTCTCTGCATTAAGTTGCAGAGAAAAAGTAAGGGATTTTCTTATCTATAGAGCAGACATCCAACTTCCAAAGATTTCAGTAGTCGTGAAAAAGTTACCTGTGATGAATTGCCTGGAATTTTTACTACTTTGTGGTGGCTTAAAATGATTATGTTTTGTCTAAGTGTGGTTACTGGGAAAATGAAAAGAGCTTCCAGACCTGCTGTTGAGATTGTGTAGATCCCAGCAATGGCGGGGAGAGTAACCAACGATGAAGTCTCTTGAGTGTGTTGCCTGTTTATTAAGAGGGATGGGGTGGGGAAATTGGGCTCAGTGGGGTTTGGGGATGAAACCTGCTTTTCCCTGCCAGTGTGGAGGAGGTGACATTTCTGTGGTCTTTATGCCCATCGAAGACCAGGCTGAGCTGGGGATTCACTGCTGGTTAACACCATATGTTCAGCTTAAACAAGACACTGTGATTGAAAGACTAATGTTTTGTCTCCTAAAACACCTGACAACAACCCCAGATTTATTGTTGATTTTTTTCCCCCTCTTATGAAAGTATTTGGTAGCTGTGTCACTCTAGTAACAGATGCTGCTCTCATATGTTCCCCTTCTTGACATAAATGGATGCCTATAAAGATAAATAGAATAAAGAAAAGGAACTTGTTGCATACAGGAGGCAGGTGTCCAAGGGTTTTTTAAATTCACACAGTAATCGCCGGTGTGGACTGGTCTGGCATAACAGGACACAGACAGGAATTCTGCTGCCCCCAAATTATGCTAGGTATGCTTTTTCTCTCACTAACTCCTTCTCTCTCTTTAATAGAATTTTGGAAGTAACACTCATGATGTCAGCCTAGTGCCAGTGTCCAAATGCCTGTAACATAGGGACTCAAGAGTGGCAGTCTGGTCAGAAGAGGGCCCTGGGAGAGACCTGTATGGAAACATAGTTTAGATAAGTTTGGAAACTTTGTTTTAGAAGTTTGCAAAATAAGTTTCTGGATCATGGCAAGGAGTGGGGACCTGGGGAGTTTGTGGGAGACTCAGGCCCTTGGACCCTCTTCCCAGCCATCAGAGAGAAGAGGCAGCTGAGTCCTAGAGGGTCCCAGTGACTTGCCAAAATCCCATCTGTTCCCTGCAGAGACCCGGGGAAAGAAACCAGGAGCCTTAATTTCCGTCTCTTTGTCCCAGTGATCAGACGTGCTAAACTTGGGGGGGGGTTCCACTCAATCACATTACGAAAAATAGGGAGTGTGTGTCTGGTGGAGATGGAAGTTGGAGGGGTGGGTGTGATGGGGCAGGATGAGAGCCTGACTGCTCCTAATGTCACTGAATGAAGTGCTGGGCTGGGCTTAGTCACTCAGTCGTGTCTGACTCTTTGCAACCCCACAGATGCCCCCCCACCCCCACCCCCACCCCCGCCCCGGGTCCTCTGTCCAGGGGGATTCTCCAGGCAAGAGTACTGGAGTGGGTTGCATGCCCTCCTCCAGAGGATCTTCCCAACCCAGGGATCCAACCTAGGTCTCCCGCATTGCAGGTGGATTCTTGACCAACTGAGCCACCAGGAAAACCAATGGAGAGGTTTTAAAAGTGTATGGGCTTCTTCCCAGGTGGAGATAGTGATAAAGAACCCACCTGCCAATGCAAGAGACACAAGAGATATGGGTTCAGTCCCCAGATCAGGAAGATCCCCTGTAGCAGGGCATGGTAACCCACTCCAATATTCTTGCCTGGAGAATCCCATGGACAGAGGAGCCTGGTGGGCCACAGTCCATAGGGTCACAAAGAGGCAGACATGACTGTCGTGACTTCGCACGCATGCATCTGTTTAGGAGATCGTTTATCCTCTGATAATCTGGAGTGAATGTGTCTGAGGATATGATGTGTGTGTGTTGGGCGGTGGGCGGGGGGGGGGGGAGAGTGAGAGAGAGAGAGTGTGTGTGTGTGTGTGTGAGTGAGTTAGAGAGAGAGAGAGGGAGAGAAAGTAAGGAGTCTTTGTTCAGAAATAAGGGACTTCAGGTGCTCATCACAGCCCATGTGCTTTCACTTACCTCTTCATCTCCATCCCTTCTTCGCTTCTCTGACCAGATTCCATTTTTAGCTCCCTGGTGGGAAAAGAATCAACATGCCATTGACGGTTCTTGATTTTGGAGCTACAAGAAGCACTTTTAATATTTGAGTTACTTTGTTTCAAATGCATACTTTTAAATATTCATTTGAAGATTTTTTTCCAAGCAAATTGCTGCTGGTGGTTTTTGAGTTTCAAATTATTCTATAACTCTGCATAAATACTTGGGTTGCATGAGATCATTGGCCTTATTTAGAATTTAGCAAAGTCTGGCCCATGAAAGAGGTGTGGGGACCGATTCTGACAACTGTGAGAACTCAGGAGCATTGGAGTTTATGGACTCTGTACCTGAATCCGTGTGCTTGATACTGTTCCAGGTATCGTAAAGTTGGGAGCCACCTGGTTTGCTAATTGAAAGTGCAGTTAAAAGTCAAGCTTGAAAAAGAGCTTTTGCATTTTCAGGGTTGTGACTTTGGAGATTTGTCACTGATGACTAGGAAGTGTGAACACTGGGATAGATAGTGATTTTCACTGTTGAATACATTAATCCCTTTAATTATTTGTTAAGCACCTCTTATGTACTGGCACTGATTTGGACCCTAGGGAAACAGAATTGATCAATATGAACCAAAATCCCTGGCCTCATTTCAGCTGGAGAAGATAGAAAATCACAGGCATTTTTAGCAGAGTGACCAGGGAAAGCTCTAATAAGAAGGTGACTTTTGAGTCAATTATGAAGGCAGTGAGGATACTGGCCATAGTCATACCCAGCAGAAGGGCATTCTGGGCAAAAGGAACAGCGAGTTCAAAAGCTTGAAAATGGACGTGTGTCTGATATGTTTGCAGAATGGCAGGGACACCAGTGAGGGTATGTCAGAGAGAAAGAGGGCAAAGAAATGACAGACTCCAGTGAAGTGACCGGCAAGGTGGGGGTGGAAGCTCAGATCAGAGGAGGCCTCAAGATTTTGGGATGCTGACTATACCCCATCCACAGGAGCTGTTGAGGATTTGAGCAGTGGAGTGACACAGTGTGACTTAGTCTATAACAGAGTACGCTATAGAGGACCAAGGGCAAAACCAGGAGGACAAGCTGGGAGGTCCCTGCAGTGAGGTAAGCAAGAGATGATGAAGGCTCGGGGGCCAGCATGGAAGCATTGGAGGCTGTGAGCAGTCGTGTAGTCCTGGGTCTGTAGATAGAGCCCAGCTGACCAGATTGTCTCATGGACTAGGTGATGATGGTGAGAGAGAGAGGACTTAAGGATACCTCCGACTCAACAACCAGAAGAATGGAATCAACCACTGGCTGCGATTGGGCAGGATACAGAAGCATCTGGTTGGGTTTGGAGGCAGTTTGGAGATGGGACATCTGTTTATCAGAAGGCACGTGTGAAGTAGACAGGTGGGTACGCAAGCTGGAGTTCAGGGGAAAGCCCAGGCTGGAGATAAAAAATCAGGGAGTCATCAGTAAGTAGATGGTATTTGAGACTGAGAATCTTAAAGGCGTTTCTACACAGGAAGTAAGTTTAGAGAGAAGAGGTCCATGGGCTGAGCCCAGATGCCTCCCACAAGTGCAGGGGTCTAGGAGTAGAGCAGCTGCTGCTGCTAAGTCACTTCAGTCGTGTCCGGCTCTGTGCGACTCCGTAGACAGCAGCCCACCAAGTTCCTCCATCCCTGGGATTCTCCAGGCAAGAATACTGGAGAGCAGCTGCTGCTGCTAAGTCACTTCAGTCGTGTCCGGCTCTGTGCGACTCCGTAGACAGCAGCCCACCAAGTTCCTCCATCCCTGGGATTCTCCAGGCAAGAATACTGGAGTGGGTTGCCATTTCCTTCTCCAATGCATGCATGCATGCTAAGTCACTTCAGTCATGTCTGACTCTATGCAACCCCATGGACAGCAGCCCACCAGGCTCCTCCATCCACAGGACTCTCCAGGCAAGAACACTGGAGTGGGTTGCCATTTCCTGCTCTGGAGTAGAGCAGGAACCCAAGCAAAAGAAAGAGATAAGTCAGAAGTGTAGGTCAGTGTCATTTCTTAGGTGCCAGGAGAATAACATGTCTATTGTTTCCCACAACTTTATGAGGTCAGTGTGATTTTTACCTCCATTGTACAGGTTTGAAAACTGATGCATATCATCAATGATGAATCCTTTACCCAGAGTCACCTTGGCTGGAAGTGACAGGGATGCAGTTTGAAGCTCCATCACTATCACTTTGAATCCAGGATCTCTATACTCTTCAATACACATGATATATAGTTGTTGTTGTTCATTTGCTAAGTCTTGTCTGACTCTTTGCAACCCTGTGGGCTGCAGCACATCAGGCTTCCCTGTCCTTCACTGTCTCCCAGAGTTTGCACAAACTCAGGGCCATTGAGTCGGTGATGCCATCCAACCAACTCATCCTTTATCCTGCCTCCCTTCTCCTCCCACCCTCTATCTTTCCCAGCATCAGGGTCTTTTACAATGAGTTAGCTCTTCACATAGGGTCACCCAAGTA